CTGTCAAGGATCACGCCGGCACGGTCATGCAGTTCCCTCGCGGAATGTTTTGCTGACTGACGTTATTTCGATTACGGGACGTCACTCTTTCGCAAATCTCCGTCTGTCTGATCATGAAGAACTGAGACATCTAAGCGAAGGACAGGAACGGCTTGTCGATTAATCGGAATCCTCGAGGACAGCGTTCTGCTTCTCAAAAAATTAAACAAATATGTTTTTTTATATAATTTTAATCTTTCACGCTTTAACGTTAGTTTTTTAATTTAATTCAGCTCGCTTTTTCGTTCCAGAAATTCCACATAGAAAAATATATTGACGAAAGAGGAGGAGGAGAACGGAATCCATTGTACGATATAATCTAAATTTATTATCCGTGTCGGTAAATTGATTATCTGCCATATCGATCATTTTAGTTCAACGGATGGACCATAGAAGACAGTACTTGTCACGTGGGGATTGCATGACGCTGTCGTGCATAGGTCGATAAATGTCGGTAAATGTTGTTTCGACGCGGAATCAATTTTGCGGAACAATAAATTGAATATTTTATGCAGAATGTAATATCACGTTGTCAAAAATTCTCTCATTTTTAACGAGCCGTGACTGTTATTTCTGACGTCGAGATAATACGACGCGTTCCACGGAGAAAAATGTATCTCCCCCGATTATAATGTTTACCTAAGAACCCTGATAACGTTTCTCCCGCGTGAATCAATTGTTCGCGCGATAATCAAATCAGCAACGCGATTAATTTCGCAAAGAGCAAATCTGATACGACTCGTTGGATGACGAGCGAAAAATTGGAGTATTTGTTTTCTGTTTCTGCACTCGGCTGAATTAAAATTTTCTATCTTGCTTCTGTCAAACTTCAAATACGTGTCTATTTTATTTTAAGTACAATAAATGTACATTAGTTTGCCTACAAATCATTTTATTATATAAACATCAGCTTCCTTCATGTCAAGAGAGAAAAGAATTTCTCCTTCTTTAAATTTAATAATCGCCATGAGACTTCAAGAACAATTCAGTTAATTTCTAGAAGAGGACTTATCTCAAGGCTCAATAACGAGTTGTGCAATGCACACAAATTCTAAAGAAACCTTGTAGAAATGTAATTCAGTTTGGAAAGACACGATTTATGTCTATTTCCACCAATGTAGATTAGTTTTAATTTTGATTTAACTTACTTTTCATCTCGTTTTAGTTCCAAGAACTAGAAAAAGAGTGAATTATGTGAGCTTAATATTAATATACACTGGCAAAAATAAACATTAGAGGAACCAATATTTGACCGAGATTAACTTTAATAATCTCGGTTAAATTTACTTTTCATCTTATTGTAATACTAAAAATTAGAAAAAGATAAAGAGTGAATTAAACTGAGAATAATGTTAATCTACATTGGTGGAAATGAACATTAGAGGAACAACTCCAGTTATACCCTGGCTATAGATTCGCGATTCACGTCACTGTCATGTCCTCGTCGACACGAGAGTTCGACGTCGTATTCGTGCAACAACGTTACTTATCCCGGATAAAACCTTGTTCTTCGCTGAAGAAGTCGCTCCCATGAGAATTCGCGGCGCATCTCTCTCTGTGATCTCTCTCTCTGTCTCACTCTCTCTTTCCCTCTCGTGATCAGGTTAATCGCGGCCGCGCACGGCCGCGGTGGTTACGTACCCTTTCCAGCTTCTGGAAGTACTCCCGCAGGAAGGAGATCGGGTTCTCGGGCCGGCCCACGCACAGTTGCACTATACAGTCTTTCAGGACCTGTTGGATATTGTGTCTCTGCACGTATTCCTCGCACTCGCGTAAACTCTGCTCCTCCTCGAGATTCGCCGCCATATTGATGATGCACGGCGCGCCGCTTTATCGGCGATACGTTGCGTCGTCTCCCCTCTCCCCTCTTCCCGCTGCCGTTAGCCGCGGCTGTTCGTAATCGCGCGATCTCGGTCGAGATTCTAAGATTCGACGAAAGATTTCATTCCAAAGAAAGCTGTACTTTAATACAATTCTGACTCATCGAAGCGTTCCATTGAGAATCCAGCTCTGATGCTAGAAATTCAAGTATGATTTTAGGAATTTCTCACGTTTGTACGTGATAAGAAATGCGCGGTTATGCTCTTGTTATTGTAGCTATGGAAATTGAATTATTCGTACGATCGCGGGCGAATCGATAATTCAATCGATTGAAGTTAGCCTTCGATGGTGAATTATACGAGTATAGTAAAGTATAGAAAAGTATGATTTATACAAATATATAAGAAAATATATTTTCTTGAATGGTTAGTTAGTTTTTTAATTTTTAGAATTGATAAAAGATGGAAGGCAAATTGAAGATGAGTCAAGATTAAAGTTAATCTCTATATATATGTTCATTTATATTATTCTTCAAATTTTCAGAATCAAGATAAAAATAAATTAAATCAAAGTTAAAATTAATCACGCCCGTGCGTGCGGGCGATTATTTTTATTATATTAGTTTAAATGTTGATACATATCGCTTTCTCTAAAAACTTTTAAATAAATCATTTTATATCTTACGTCATATATTGTCTATAATACTTAAATAATTATTTACAGTTATATAAACTGATACGCTCTATTAAGTAGATCTTTTAAAGCCCTACAACTTTTATCTGAAACATTTTTCTCAAAAATGCCTTGTTTTCGAGCTATTTGACCGTTTTCACAATTTTGGCACACTCTGTATATTCGTGTAGAGATCCGAAAATCGCGCTACATTGCACCATCGTGAATGCAGTTCAGCATCGAGCATCGAGTCGCGCATGCGCGCCGCCGCGTGAGTCGCTACGCGGGCTTCGATAGATCGAAGTGCGTCCCGCCTCGTCTCGATCGGTCGTTTCGATGGATCGTGCGCGGCAACGACCATCTCGCGTATCGCGCGTATCGCGATGGATGGTGGAGTGCTGCGTGCGGCGTACTGCTGCCTGCGAACGGGTGAATCTCCGTGCTGAGAGGGAGAGAGAGGTGCGTGCGGTGTGTGTGTGGTGTTACGGGGTAGCCCAGCTCGCGAATCCGTCGGGCGCGTCTCGGCCTCGCCTCGCCTTGCGAAGCGACGCGACGCGACCGCGACGGACTTTCGACGGCGAAGCGGAGCGAAGTTGGGCACGATCGCTCCATAACGGACGGTCGGTCGGTCAGTCGATCGGACAGACGGACGGAACGATTCTCTGGGAGGAGGCCGAGCGGGAGTGCGAATAATCGGGAGACTCGGCGCGCCGCGAAACCGAGGAACTGTGCGCCGCCGCGGGTCCTCTCGGCGATGCGCGAGGATACCCTCGCGGACACCTCGCGTCCGTGCGTGCAATCCCGTTCACACGCCGGGATCTGAAGGCGGCTGTCAACGAACCCGGGCGGCCGGATACTCTGCAGGAGCTCGTTCGCGAGGATCTCGAGCGAAAACGACCCAGAGGGAGGAACAGCGAGAGAGAAAGAGAAACATAAGGAGGACCGAGCCAGTCTCGTGAGAGAAGCAGCGGCAGGAGAAAAGAGGTACACATCGCCTTTTCGGCAACCGTGCTCGGGATCTCGTGTGCCTCTCGCATTCCTCGCTTAATCTCGCCGAACACGCGAGTAGACGCGATATATCATTGTGCGCGCGCGCGCGCGCGGAAATGTATATTTGTATGTGTATATATAGATGTATGTAATGTATATATATATGTGTGTGTGTGTGTGTGTGTGTGTGTGTATGTATGTATGTATATAGGGTCCCCAACTATGTGCGCGAATGCTGCGTGAATCAGCCGTGCAACGACGATGACGGTCGATCGACGGTTTCGACCGTGCCATCTCGCTCTCGTCGTCGCCCGGTTGTTCCTTGCATAAAGATCGATACGCGTCGCTTCGCGCCGCGGTGCCGAGGCTCTTTCGAGAACGAGCGTGCGGGAGAGAAAGAGAGGAGACGAGACTCGCGGTTGCCATTCCCGACGAAAATAGCGGACGAGTCTTCTTTCGCTCTCTCTCTTTCTATCTCTTTTTATTTCTCTCTCTCTCTCTCTCTCTCTCGCTCTCTCTCGCGACGGTGTCCTTGGCCGCGTTTCGCCCGGCATTACTTCACGTTGTCAAGTCGCAAAACGGAAGGGGAATCGGGAGGGAGGAAGGAAGGGAGGAAGGGGAGAGCGAGAAGAGGGCATATTCGATCGAGGACGTTTCGCGTCGCCGGCACCATCGTCGACGAAGATCTCTGAAATGGATGGATTCTTGCCGTCGTCGAGGGGATTACGATGTCGAGCAAGCGCGTTCGCGACAACGGCCACGGGAGTAACTAAAGTCTGAATCACGTATTCTACATATTGTCCGGTTGCTCGATACTCTGTGTTTTCTTTTGGTTTTGAGGTTATCTCCTTTGACTTGCGACAAACTGTTTAGAGAATGTGACGAAGAAATATGTACTGTACTTCAGCATAGAAAAAAAAGTGAAATTATTAATGCTTGAGGAAAAGAATTTGATTTTATTGATAAGTAATTAATTGAGGTAATTGAGGTTACACGTAAAGCCCAATTATGTTTTGAATATCGTTTGTTCTATATTTATGTTCTAAATATTGTTCTAAATGTCAAACTTAAATTTTTTTAGTTAAAATTGTTTATTATATATTTACAGTCCATTTGAAACATTTCATATTTATATCAAGTGTCCTGTTTGAAGGTAATAAACTGAAGTTCAAAGAGCATGGCAAGGAAATGTATACTTTTATAATTTATCATAGAAAATAAAAAAATGTTATTGTTTAAAGAAAAGGATTTTTATTAATAATAATTGAAGTATAGTTTGAGACCATAGCAATGAAATTTGCAAACACTATTTTGAGAATATCATCCATTCTGCACTTAAATTGCGAACTTAATTTCTTTAAACTTAAAATTATTTAAAATTGATTATTGTGTACGTACAATCTATTGAAAATTTGAAATATTTAATACTTATAATATTAAATACAAACTATGATATTTGTAATAGAGTAAAGGAAAATTAATCAATTAACATTAACTATTGTTACTGTGACTGATTCTTAACATTTTCTTGGAAAATATATCAATTGATATAATTATAATTTTTGTTTAGTTTCGTAATTTCCATTATTTTATCACAATTGAGTTCTTCAAATACACAGAAGATATAATAGAAAATTTTTTCGTTTAGCTACAATATTGGATTTAAATGCTTATATATTACAGGTTACATAATTTTTGACACAAAATTAGTCAGCATTAAAATTCATGATATTTGTATTATGTCATCATCATTTTATTCTTGAATAAATGTCAGTCGAATTTTTTTTCTGAAAGAAATCTTCTGAAAGTCGTATTGCTATAATTCAATAAATCGTTAACAAAAGCGTGTTCGAGTTCGTTTTCATTCACATTTGACTTTCATTCATAATGGGCTTCTTACTCCTAGAAAGATGAAGAAGACAGGTAAAGATCAAAAGGACAAAGGAAAACTTATTGAGTACAGCGGACATAAAAAACCGATGTTATAAACCGACATTCTAAACCGGAAATCATAATACCGATATTTCTCGGCGTGTACTCGTTTCACGTAGGCGACTAGAAGACCATCCGTGTATCCCTGGGGACAACGAAATTTTCGATGAACGCGAATTCCTTTTGTGCATATCCTTTTCTCTTTTTTTTTACTCCGTTCTGTTTGTAGTATTCGTTAATCTTGCGTGTCTCGTTGACAAAAGAATTTCGCCATTTGCAGGTGTGCGGTGTGTCACGTGCAAGTGTGTGAGAAAGCAGAAACAAGCTGAGAAAAACGAAACGCAGACGCTTGATGCGATTTAAGGATTAACGATAAGACCAGTGAACACGTGAGTGTAAGAAAAGACTGCGAGGACCTTCATCACAGGAAGACCAACGAGGGAAAAAAGAGGAAAGGACAAAAAAAACTATAGGACTGTAGGAAGGAAAGGAGTTGACGGCGGATTCAGAATTCTTTTACGTGGGATCGCGTCGGCTATGACGAGGACGGGTAGTCACGTCGATCGATGGTCATTGATTGAAGCCACGGATGCCGATGCGACCGTCGCCGTCATCATCATCATCCCGTTGAATGTGGAACACGATCTCGCGGCTCTTCGCTAAGGGCAGCAGGACCGCGGTAGTGCAGGAGGAAGCCGCGACGACGACGACAACGTCGGCGGCAAAGGACGAGCAACAGCGACCGGAGCGTGCCTGCAACGGCGTCGCCGACGACGACGCGCCCGTCGACGGTACGAGCGCCGTCCATGTGTTCTACGACGCGATGGATCGGGCGATGGATCGCGGCGCGAGTGCAGACGATCGACGCAGGCCTGCCGCCGCAACCGCGGCGGCAGCATCAGTCGATCAGCAGTCCAGCGGGGGCGATTCCGAGCACTTCTCCGACGCCTACGACTCCCGCCAGGTAGGCCTTCCATTCTTTCCTCCGGCGAGCCGAAGTCGGAATAGATCCGAGGAACGTAAAACGAATAAATGAATCTGTATTAAGCATGTATTACACATCTATTTTTATTTACGATGAAAATATGAAAAAATTATTCCAGGTTGTATTTAAAAATAATATGAACAATTTCGTAGCGATTTAGAATCTAGTTTAAAAATTATTTAAATATAAAGTAGAAATGTATTTTGACAGAAGTATAATTAGAAATGATGATAAAAAGGATGATAAAAATCTCAATTTTTTTATATAAGTATTTCATGAAATTATTCAAGATGATTTATGTAAAGTTTCATTATAAAGCAGAGAGTGTTCAGTAAATAAAAATTAAATTCTTATTAAGAATATAAACGAAACGAGTGATGACACAAATAAAATTAAATTTTACCAATCTCGCAATGGAACTATAATACTTATATTAGAAGATTGAGATTTTTGTCATTATTTCTTAATCACATTTCTATTAGAACTCACTTTTGCTTATTTATTTAAATAATTTTTGTGATTCAGATTTTAAACCGCTGATGAAACTAACTATTTTGTATTATTTTTAAGCGATTTTTAATGCGATTTAGTCCGAAAGTTTTTCATAATTTTTTTATTGGAAATATAAGAATTATAAAAATAAATGTTAATACATCTTTTTGGATATCTTAGCGCAATTTGAACGTCCTACGAAATTATTTTGATGGTCCAAACAAAATTGTTTTCAGATTTGTCAAATTCTTGTGTACTTCAAGAACTGTTCTTGTATACAAATACAAATGCTACGGCTACAAAATGCAAATGAGCATATGCTGGTTATCGAAACGAGATGCATCTCTTTAAGATTTAATTAAATGGATTCTCCGAGGAATGTATAGGATTTGCGATAAAGATTCTTTCCATAGCGGGGACTTTCGCGTTCTTTTGTGGTGTGCTTGCATCTAAAGACGTTCGTCACATGTATTTGCGAGACGTATGGTAGCGGAACTGTGCCCCCGGCAGTAAAATCTATTCCCGAGCTGTGACGCTGTGATGAATACGGCATTCGTTTCCTGCGCGCAATGTTATTTACTGCGCGATAAAACTCACCGGCGTTTCACCTGCACGCGGAACGCCTTCTTCGGATATGGCATCTTCGGCGAATCGCGCGACGCACAATCTAATCATCCCTTTAATTGCTCCGCTGCGAGGTCTTGAGAGCTCGTAAAAATCACCGACGAAGATTTTACGCGATAGCATTGGCTTTCGGGGAATCGTATCGATCGTCTGCTAATACGGCTTCGTCTGTTGACCCGTACATTAACGAGCTTTATTTCTAAGCCTGGATATTTTTTAATTGAACCAATTTTATCGATATCTTTTAGATATATGTATTTATTTATTGATTAACGGAATGAAAGAAGAATTTTCGATACATTTTATAAATCTGTTCTATCGAAAATGTTATTTTATCGATAAACGTTCCTATTTTTTAATTTATTTTACGAGAATTTTCATTATGTATTTTCTGTTTTTGATGTCATAATTCAAGATGATTTCAGTAAACCGACAGGAGCTTTTTTTCATGGCGTGTTAAAAATTTTCTCATTACATAGCACACGTCAAAATCGCGTTTTCTTTGCACGCTGTTGCGCGAATGATTAATACCTCACTGTCGCACGATTTAATGTTCTTTTTGTTCATCCTGGCAGACGGCCTGCGCAATCCGCGTCGATGAAAAATCGATACTGGCAGGTTATCCGGCCTCATTATCGACGATCACATGTTTGGCACATGTTCAATGAGTATCGTTTGTTCGGCCTGGCTTCTTAGGTCAAAATGTGTTGCCGATAATACCGTAAAGAAAGCCATCGAAGAAGTACATATATAGCACTTTGTGAACATATACATAAATCTATCGAGTAGATTTCTATAATCGTTATACAAAGTATTCGATTGTGGAATGCCAGCCTGGGCTGGTTTAGAGGATCTGCGTGAAAAGAAATTTACTGCTGCAACGCACGATACCGCGTGTAAACTGGTTTTCCTTCTCTCGTTTCTGGAAAGCAAGGTCATTCCTATTGCGTGCAAACGAGCTTATTTATGCAATAATTCCTGATTATTTATTTTCAAAGCCGTCGACGTCACCGGAGATCTTCACGATCTTCCCGATCGTTCCGAAAGTAAACGCATCGGCGAGGCTCTTTTTTTTTTTACCATCGTTGTCTATAGTAAAGGAGGCGATCTTATCATGCCAAGTGCGATCTCGTCTCGATTGTTTCCGTCGATTAATGTACTGGAAACTAAGCGCCTAATTTAAGGCGTGTCGCTGGGACTCTCCTCTTTTTCTAGCGCATGAGCGGACGAGCTCCCTCGCATTCCTCACCGTAACAAGCGGTGCAATTATCAAACGTGCATTAAGATCCTGCATGTAACACGCGCGCGCGCGCGCGCGCGCATGTGTGTGTGTGTGTGTGTGTGTGTGTGTGTGTGTGTGTGCGCGGAGCCGTGCAATTAACCGTCGTGATTTCTCGCGCATTACATGTTCCGATTTCTACATCTTCTGAACCTCAGAAACATTCACGAAAATCTGACGTATCTTCAGCTTCTGCGTATCGCTTACAAACAGGACGTAAATTCAATTATTCTTATAAAAATGAATATTTATGATAAATATTTATGATAAAAACAAAATTTAACGAATATTTAATGAAAATATTAAATAACAATTTTCCTCATCTCTTGTTTTTTTTCTCTTCGTTTGGTTTACATGTGAGTTTCGCATTTAAATAATTTACTAATATTTTGTTTATTTTTTTCAAAAGAAGGAACGATGAAAAATAAGATATTTATTTAGTGAAAATAATATTTACTAATACTTGCTCTTCTTTTTCAAATTATTAAAAAGAAGATATCTATTTAAAGTAAAAATACTGTTTTTGTTCAAAACGACTACATGGAAAGAACAGTTTTACAGATATAAATCCGAAAAATAATTGTTGGGTTATCAAAATAATTATGTAAGACGTTTAAATTAATTGCTAGAATGTAAAAAGGTTTTGCAGTATTATCTATCGTAATATCTGGCTAAATATTTTTAGATCCTACTAGCAAAATTGTTCTTTCCATGTACTGATGTCAATGCACTCTGTGTATAAATAAGCAGATGGACTACTGATCTTGAAATATCGATCAGTCGACCGATCCAGATCGTGTTCGGTTACAACGGCTTATTCTGAGACACCTGTGTTCACATTACGGACAACGGAGAAAGACGAGGTCTCGCTACTTGCCTTGACGGCTCCTTTTAGAGTAATTACGACGGTCATGACACATACTCGGAAACGATTAATGTTACGAACAATGCGTAGTAGAGGCGCACTTGTGCATTTCGCGTGTAAAATAATTCCTTTATCTATGTACATACATTGCTATTAATAGCTATGTCATTTTGCATTAGGAGTATATTTTATTAATTGACCAGCTATAAATATCTATTCTCAGTTTGAGTTTTAATAATCATAATCATAATCATATAATCCTATCATAAGGAAAAGCGTTGCTGCGTTGGTGCACCATGTATTTTACGTAAACAACATATTAGCCCTCGAACGGGCGCTTTTAAAACGCAGTAATCGGTGAAAGTGACGCGCTCTCACACCTGGCAGAGATAATCGAAATCATTTTCAAAGCCACCAGCGAACGGGGAAATGCCAATGTGGATGGCGAGTTGAAAGTGGGAGTTCTGGTTTCTGAAAATACGACCGAATATATGGCATACTATCGTATTTCTATTGTACCTAATTATTAAAGACATTTCAATGTTCATGAATTTATCGATGAGAGGATAGTTTCTCTTATTACTTTAAATACCTTTAAAGTCCCATGTTGTGCCTCCGCAAAGTGCCTGATGGCTAAACCGGCCCCGCTCGTAAAAAGGCACTCGCAAAAGACGGAGGCGTCGTCGGGAGCATGAGATAGGTTGTTCGCTGCGTTACACGTCTCTACATTTACAACACTCACGATGACGTTTCTCGCTAGAGAGGGAGTAATCCAATACACCGTGAGAAAATGAATTCGTGTGTACGACAGCGCTGCGTTGTTTCGCACACATTGTTGGATGCTTTCTACGAAAGGAAACGCGCTTTCCACGATCAATTCTCACTCTTAGCTATGGCTTCGCTTTTTTAGCGAAGTTTCTTGTTGTTTTTTTTTTTTTTTTTAACGAAAATCTGGTTTTGTGACGACGTACACACGCGGAACGGAAATTATTCATTTGTATAGAAATCTTCGCAACTTTGCCAAGCTGCCGTTTTTTTATCGGTGTGCGTCATCTAGAGAGTTATTCGTTTAATTAAACCGTTTTGTGCAACGGTTTCAAAATGTGTTCACCATGCGTTTTGAATGCACCTATACTACGCATATTTAATTTCGCAGCGTTCCTTTCGCTGAAATTATAAATATTCTTAATGGCCATGTCTATTGTCTTTTCGAGAGCATGATTTCTCGAGCGAAAATAATTATTCACAGCAACATAGTGCACTCATTGTTACTTTTAATTAAAAATATCCGACAACATAAAAATTCACTACCAAGCTTAACTACGATTAAAAAAAATCTCGAATGTAATGTTAGTTAGATTTTACACGGATGATCCTTTCTCGACATTCGATTTAACATTTAAAATGTGAATAAAATTCACCTGACATTTTCACATTTACATTTATTAAATTAGGACATTATATCTCTCAGATGTATTTAAAGATATTACTTATCTACAATGAATATTTTTATTTACAATGAAAAAATTATAGTTTATTTTAGATCGCATTTAAAAGTAATACAAATTTTGCGGATCAAAAATTATTTAAATGTAAAGTAGAAATGTGCTTTAATGGAGATGAAAGTAAGAAATAACAAAAATTTCAATTTTTTTCATAAGTACTTTAAATATTCTACATTATTATGTAAAGTTTCATTGCAGAGGTCAGTTGTTTTGT